ATCTATCTATCTATCTATCTATCTATCTATCTATCTATCTATCTATCTATCTATCTATCTATCTAAGACAACCCGTGTAAAGGCAACAGCGCATGTGTTCCTAAAGACTTTGAAAGAAACACATGCCACTGTGTTTGCAGACCGGGGTTTGGTGGGACTCACTGTGAAGGTACGAATATCAAGGTTTTCGAAAACGATGTAGTGTTGCCAATCTTGTGATGAGCTCTAACCCTCAAGGGTGCATAAGCTATTGTACTATTGAGTGAGCGTATTTTCCCGTTGCGGCTGTCAGCCGTTGTGGTTTGCTTAAAATCCTTAATAACGGTTTTTACCACACCGGAGCAAGAGTTCACCTAACCTTTAGCTAAACAGGGAGCTAAACCTGACTGTGCTAACAATATCCTTTTCTATACTTTGCCTTTTCAAAGCATGTAGGTTCGATTTCGAAGATGGAATCCATGACTGGAATAAGACTGGTACAGCGTTTAACAGCCAGCCGACCTATGGTGATAACCCTACAGCTCGGAACAGAGGACGTCGACAACCTGTCAATCAACAAGGGGACTGGTGGATCGGAGGGTTTGAAATGTGACCCTCTAAAGAAACACCGGCCGGGGAAATTCAAGGAGACGGGCTCCAGGGTACTCTTACCTCCCCATTCTTTAATACCACGGGAGAAGAAGTTTCGTTTCTTACTGGCGCTGGCTGTGATCTACACACTATTCGTGCAGAGTTAGTCATTAACAATCAGGTAGGCATGTTATTAATTAAAACTCTCCTAATGAAAAATTTATCTTGACATGCTTATCACATTTAGGCTTGTTTCGATTGTGTTTGGCATCTTTTGAGCAACTTTTGGCGTTTGGAGCAACTTTTTGCGGTTCTAGCAACTTCGAGCAAATTTTGCCTTTCTGAGCAACTTTTAAGCAAAACATAGGTTTAGGCAAGACGTCAAATGAACCATGTGTTTTGTTCCGTTAGACTCAAGAATGTTCTTAAATTTTGCCCATATTTGCAAGCAACTCTTTAAAGCCAAGTTGCAAGCTTTTCTTTCCCGACCGCAAAATGAAGCTTCTAATTGAGCTTTCTATAAATATATCAAGAAATTTAGGTAGCAACGTTTGAAATTTAGGTAGCAACTCTTTGAATTTTTAGCAATTTTTAAACAACTTTTTAGCATTCCAGTGAGAAATTTTACTGCATTTTACGAGCACAATCGGGACAAGCCTAATCACAATTCGATTTTAAAAAATGGGAGCCACCGAGTTGTTTTGAGTTGTAAGCACTCTTAAGTGTGTTATTTTAATAATTAAAATTAACAGTTAAAGGCCGAAGGCGCAGTGAATCTATTAATATTGCTGAATATTCACGAGCATGAGGCGGATAATTGTTTTAGTATAATTACTCAGGTGATTATAGAAATAACTAAACAAAGGATTGACCAAAAACTGTTGAATTTTCTTTGTCCACATGTCAAAGAACAACTACGCGTATAGATCACATGGCTTAATACATAACATGTTCAAAAACGGCAAGTGTTTTTCGCGCGTTTTAAAACGTTCTGCCCCTAGGAAAAAGCCGAAAAGGAAGCTAAAATTGTCTCAAAGTCAGTGGTAAATTCGGTTTGTTTTTGAAACCGTTCTGTTAGATAAATAAAGTATATAGATAAAGCGTTGCGAAAATTTAATAGTTGCTTTGATGTACTCTTGCGTATCGACATAAGCGATATTTTCACGGGAATTCAAATGATTTCTTTGTAATATTTCGCATAATTTTCACACCTTACCTTTGAAAAGTGTTACTCCGAACTTTGTTGTACGTTTTGTGTTTCTCGGAATAGCATTTTCTTTCCGTATATTCATTTCTTCTTCAGAGACATCGAAAAAGCGCGAGGCGGCCATTTTGAAAATTAGTCGGAGGTGAATATAGCGAAATATGACACCATTCTCGACCAATGAGAGCGCGAAATTTTCTATAATCACTCGAGTTATTATAATAATACGTTGTATTATTGCTATAGTTACCTGATATGCTATGTAGAATTATGTCTGAGCATGGGTTGTTGTTGTTGCTTTTTTTCTATGTTTTGTCGTCTTGCTTTGTACGTGGTGGGTCGATCTATTTGCCCTCTATAGCTGGCCAGGGGTTGTCTTTTGTAGCGCTCTCCCTCCCTCGGTCATAACGACCTAATCCAAGTGAGTTTGTGAATCAGTACTATGTAGTTACTGAGTATTACGAGTACAAGATTGAGTACGACTACGATTTTTGAATTTAAAACCATTGACCTTTCCAGAGCTTTCGCTCTTCATGGTGGTTTTGGGAAGAGAGGGTAGCGCATGAGATGAGATGGCTATGTGATGTGATGATGCGAAGCCTGAAAACTTGAATTGAAAAGTCGTTATCGTCGTACTCGATCTCGTGCTCAAATCCTAAGTCCCCTATTAAAACGCGTAAACCTGACCACCGCGTTGAGGTAAGTCTGTATACGAGGCAAGTGGCGTATCAGGCCGGAGCTTATCTCGGTTTCTGCCGCATGAGGAGAATAGGAGTATTTCTATTCCCCCCACCCCCAGGATGGGATGCTAGTCCATTGCAGGGTTACTCCCAGCACTAAGTTTGGCGGATGGTGAGAGGCATTGTGAGAGAAAAGTTTCTTGGCTAAGAACACAGCACAATATCCCTGGCCAGGGGTCGAACCGGGACTGCTCGATCCGGCGCAGGCGAGCGCATTAACCATGAGGCCATTGCGCCTCCGCCATCACCACGTCAATTTACACTACGAGCAGTTTCTCTTTCGCTTGGCCCGTCGTGCGTGACGCGAAAGAAAACCGCGAGAAGCACGCGTGTCTCGCACCCAGGATTTCACGCGGCCATTTTTTTTTTCTCGCGATTTATTTAAGGTCTCGCTCAGCTGCGTGTATATGTTTTGAATGAGGGCCTAACCATATATATCTGCTATTTTTGCAGGCTGTCAGAAGCGAGACCGGCAGTTGCAATGAGACAATGACTCGTAAGACTTGGGATGTCGATGCCTTTATTGGTCAACGCGCACGCGTAAGACTGATTGACGTCAGCTCGGCCTCATGGGGTCACATCAACTTCGACGACTTGAAAGGCGACATTACGTGTGATCAAAACTAAAACTATTTTCGTTCATAGAGAAACTATTTACATTATTTATTTATTATCATTATTTACATGCAACGGGTCTCTTTCTTAGCTTGAAACATCCCTTCCCCAGCTACAATGCAAGGACACTCACCCTCGAACTTAACTTGATGGAAAGTGAATATCTCCCGTAGGCTGTACTTGATGGCTGGTTGAAACATGTTTGACTATCTGAATCCCTCACCTCGCCGAGCACCTCCGCCTACTAAAGGGGTTGATATCGCCCTGAAGAAAAAAATTATGGAAAGAACACACTCAGACATTTTTACTGCGAAAAAAGGAACAATTATAAATTTGCCAGCTACTAGAAATAGTTTTTAGAAATACCTATTCGTGCTTTATGTCCTGGCCGTGAATTCTGACAAATTTTCTTGTTGGGTGTCCTTGTTTCAAGTGGTTTGGATTTCGTTCTTTGTTGTCAATAACAACTGACAAATGAAGCAAACTTTTTTTGAGGCCCTGTCCACACTACGCCGAAGAAATTTGAAAACGCAGCTTTATTTCTACGGTTACGCCTACGTACCGTCCACACTCATCCATAACGAAATCGGAGCTTTTCAAAAACATTCTTCTAACGGAGGAATTTGAGAGCGACGGCTTTGCGTTTTAGTGTAAACGGAAAACATTTTGAAAACGAAGCTTTTCGAAAACCATGACATCACGCTAATCTTGAGATTTCCCTGTCTGAGTTTTCCTCAGACAAAATCCAAAATGTTCGGTGATTGTTACGTTTTCAAATTTCTTCGGTGTACTGCGGACGGAAAACAGTTGATTCGTTTTCAGAGTGAAAACACCTTTTTCTAATTTCTCCGGCGTGGTGTCTTAGTAAATGAATCTTGGTAAATATGACTTTTGGTAAGTCTAAAATACATTGCAGCGAAGTTTGCTACTTTTCTCATAAATAAGTCAAAGCTTACCGACCAACGGAACTGCTTAATTTGTAAATAAAGAAACTTTACATCCTTGAAATAAACCGAGTTCAAAAGAATAAAACTTTACCCTCATTGCTAAGTTTTGCTGCGTCGTTCACGTTTTTTGACGTTCCTTTGCCTCCCCAGTGCAGCTCCCCGAATGATCATGAATCATCTGAAGCCTGGCGTCTGACAGAACAAATTAATTTTCTTAAAAAGAATAAACTTTACATTGCCGAGTGGTTTTGCAGTGTAAATTATGAATTTATCAACATTTGCGGCGATTTGCGGCCCCGAGATAGTTTGCTGAGCTGTGCAATACAGCTTACCACCACTCGGGTAGTAGTAACAGCAATGATGACCGGCGGGAAGTCATTTACTTTACACTTTTAGACACACCCTGAATTACCACTAAATGATCGGTATCTCGTGATAGTTGCAGTCTATTTGATAGCATATGACAAGCACCAATACAAATTCGCATCCCTTCTAGCTGGACAGGGCTAATTGAATAACTGTTTTATTTAATGCTTCAATCCGGCGGACATTTCAGTTACATCTAAACGAAGCGGGGTTATAACAAGGCGGGCAATCTCGTCGGGTGTTGTTCACTTTAAGAGCTGAATGTCGAATGACAGGAAAGCGGGGTTTTTTCGAATGATCACCTCCAAATTTGTCTACATTCCGGAAAGTTGTGGCAAACGACGAAGGGTTAATGGGAAGTTTCGAAGTAGTGTACATGCCTTGTTTAAGTCAAAGGAAGCAACTGTTTATCCGTCTCCATCATCAAGACTACAGATTGTACAAGTGAATATATGAAAGATCATATTTGAACTGCGGAGAAAGATATGGAAACAATATTGATCATCGCTGTTATACACACAACTTAAGCAGTCGTGAAATTAAGCCTGAAAAAATTCAGGCTTGAACGGGATTCGAACCCATAACCTCTGCGATACCGGTACAGTGCTCTACCAACTGAGCTGTCAAGCCAACTGGGAGCTGGTCACATTGTGAGTTCGTAATATACCCGTAGATGGTGTAGATACAAGTGAGTATATGAAAGAACATATATTTGAAATGCAGAGAAAGATACGAATCCCGTTCAAGCCTAACGGCTCGTGATTTACAAGCTTTTCTCGTGTTCTCCCAAAATCCCGCTTCGCTTATTGCGCCCGTAAACCCATAGAAAGAGTGGTTTATTACTTAAATATACTGCCTACCTTTTTGTCGGCAATCAACTCTGCACGAACTGTCTTTATATCGCACCCTCCGCTAATCAGGTAAAAGATATATTTAGCCGTGATGGCGAAGCGCGGGGAAGCAAGAGTTCCTTGGGGTCCGTGTCTTTGAATTTTTCCGGCGGGAGCTAGTTTGGGGGGTCTGTTGTCGTATCCTCCAATCCACCAGTCCCCTTGTTGACTCGCGGTTGGCGACTAGAGACAACGCACGCAACGAAATATCAGATAATAAATCAGCATCGAGAATAACTAAAAAACTAGTGGAATATATATTTGACGAAATAGCTGGAGTGATTTCTTACCTTAATTTAGCCTATCTTGATAAAAAAAGGGCTGAAACGGAAACATCGCTTGCAACTTTCATATGTTGCGTGTACGACACATTTTTGACTGTCGCCAGGTCACCAGATTGTTTTTAACTGTCGCCAGATTGTTTCCTTTGCACAAGTCACTATTGCCATCCACAGAAACTTTTATAACTGGATGAAAGTGACACGTGTACGGCGATTTGTTAGTGTGGGAATTTGCAACACGAGCTTTAAAAAGAGCAAGCAAAGTGAACATCTTAAAGACTATGGCGCGTTTTCAGGGTTAAAATTAGAAACTAACTTTTCCACCTTTCCTTACCTGCTAAGTAAAATGTCTGTCATTTCCTGTCTTTGAAATTAGACAGTACGCATCTCTTTTGACCTCCGAAACAATACATTCCGCGTTTCCTGAATACTAAAATCATAACGTCCGGCATATTTTGACCTTTGAACAAAATTCTCCGCGTTTCCTGACTTCTCTCGAATTTTAAGTCCGGCATGTTCTGACTTTCAATGTAATTAGTTGCCAAATACCGTACTACTTAGTTTAAACATCTCAACTAAACATCCCATGCCGGCACCTGACAAGCCATTTAGTTCATAATGAAATCTCGCTGCTGAGCC